ATGTGCATATATATATATATATATATATATATATATATATATATGTATATATGTATATATATACATACGCAATTAAGTATATAAACGGTACAATAATTTGCTAAAAGGCTTTTGTTGTCAACGTCAAGCTTTCTGTTTAGGAAACTATATATACGACCATATACTTGTATATAAAACTCCCTTCCATACTTTACATACGAGTATATATTCAAATAATTTATAAATTCAAATGTGTGCATTTTGAGCTGAGTTTATTCGTTTTAACGTCTGAATATACCAAAGGATAAGTGTGTAATAATTTACCTAATACAGAATTGCCTATCGTTTACGATAGTGCGCTCTTCGTTATCGTGTTTTTTTCTTTCTTCTTTTTATGAGTATTTCAGTTACATTTTAGATTTGTATCCACATGTCGTTTCATTTTTTTTTATTAAAGTTGTTTTTAGTGCAGTTTACGGGAAAAAATAGATTTCAACAAAATTCAAAAAAAAAAAAATAAATAAATAAAAATAACCAATATACACACAACTGTCAGCGTTTAAGGTTTAAGTTTCAAATTGCATTCCATTTTTTTATTTATTTATTTTTTTTTTTTGCATAAAACTAATGAATGTTTAATTAATAATATAATTGTTGTTTTACTCGATAACCTTTTGCCATCTATTAGGCGACCCTATGAATTTCGGACTTTATCAGCAAAACAAAAAAAAAAAAATATTTAATCAAATAATTGTTCGATTGAATATTACAAACAAGAAATCTTTGCTTGTACTCAGGTTTACCTTATCAGTTCCAATCAAGTTTCAATCATTTAAGATTTCAGACAATCACATGATTAGTGGAAACTGTATTATTTTGAAGAGTTTTATGTATATCGCAGTAAGTTAGGAAAATGCCTAACAACGTCGACAAATAATCAAAAATATTAAGAGCTTTCCTAGATGGAATCTAATTTTGCAATTATCTGAAATGTTGACAATTTCTTGCTTCGATAGATCCAATGTTTATATTGAGTTCAAGACATTTAAACTCATAGGATGGTACATCGAGATTCTAACCGGGACCGGAGGAACGGTATTCTAATTGTTATTATTGCTAATATGTACGCAATTTTGTTGACTGCAATGTGTGTCATACGTTGATTGTTCAGCCAGTTACGAACGATGTATACTTATTTTAATGATATGCAAATATATATAGTTTTTCCCGGCAAAATTTTTATATTTACCCTAGAATCCATTATTAAATGTGATGGAGGTATTAAGTATGAAAAGGAAAACGTTATGACAGTCTGATAAAAGTCCTTCCAAACAATTGCAGTGTTGAAAGGAATAACTAAGACTTTTTATATGGTTGGCTCCTCTTAGCGAAAGTCTTCTCTAACACCGCAAGAGTTCATTTGGGAAAACTCTCAAATATTTCGTTTATCTCGTTTTTTTTTTTTTTTCATTTTTTTTTCATTCAATAAAATTCATATCTCATTAATAAGTTTCATAAGTTTTTAATTCGTTCAACTGCTGTCACATTTGAGAATTCATTGACGATTGATTAAATAAATTTCATAATTCGCAAAAGACAATTTTGAATTTATTTTTATATCGTAAAATGCATTATTTAAATAACTTTCGCGACATGTGCAAAACTTCATGTTTTATTATAAAATATAATTAACATTAGTTTTCTGATGAATTGTTGTGATTCTTTAACTTATTCTTATTTAAAACGAATTGGTAATTATTATTACTTAATTAAATACACTCAGCGCACACACATTAAAAAAAATACAATGAAAGCTTAAAGAACAAATTTGGCTTAAATCATTGAATTGAATTGAATTGAATTGAATTGAATTCTTCTCTAATCAGAACTAAACGAAATCATCGCACAAAATATTAAAAATCAATTGTCTTATGATTTATTTATTTTTTTTAAATCGATATAAAAGAAAACGAGATTTTATTTGGCTCAAGTCGAATATATTGGTATTCACCATCATAATTCTTTACAGATTTACTTACTTACCTGACTCACGTTCGAGTTACCCATAAGTTTGGCTATGAGATGATTGTTAAGAGTCCGCGAAGACTGCCTAGATCTGCTTAGGCAAAGCGATAGTGACGCGAACAGTTGTAGGTGATATTTTCAGGGTTTTTTTAAAAAAAATATTGTACCTTTCACTTTCAACTCGCCTAAGTTTGGGCGTACGTGACACTTTATCGCCTTGAAGCGCATCCTCGTAATGATTGCTACGTTCGCTCTTTAATTTCGTTTTAGAAACTTTTTTTTTTTTTTTTCAATTCTTTTAATATGTAATATAAGCAAGTAGTACAGCTGCCAAGACGAATTTGTTCATTCATATTCTTCATCTCGTCTAGCGGAGGCAAATTTTCTTGCGTCAAAGGGATAGATGGAATGGATGGCTCTTCTATAACCTACCGCTTGAATTGGTATTTCATTCAGGAAGCGATAATTAGCCTTTCTAGCTTAAATTTTCGCGATATATATAACCATCTAATTCAACGTAACTACGTTTTAGGTGACAATGATAATAGAGAACATTTTCAAATCGAAAAATGTTTAGTCAAAGCTCAGTTAGATTGGTCTGCAGTTGTCGAATTTATTGCTATGCTAAATGCCACAAATGCTTTCAGGCACTTTTCGAAATCCGATGACTTAAGGCAATAGGGATTTTCACAGGTCACAGAGAACAGAACAGTGTTACGCGGCGGCATATTTGACAGACTTGGGAAAGGTTTCGTACAGATGCTAATCGCTTGCTTGTATAGTTATTATGCGATAATATCGAGATGGTGGGTACAGTAAAGCAATCCCGTTGTAAATTCTAAATTCTCTGCTACAATTCGCATTTGCACATTAATACAAAGTCATGCTCATTAGTAAAGTTTCCAATATGCAAATTATGCAACAAAGTTTAATAATTTTGTTTTGTTTAAAAATTTCACCAGACAAAATTTATAAACTTTTTAGTTTTGCTTTTTGGGTTGTTTTCTTCTTTTCTTCTTTTTTTTTTTTTTTTTTTGTTTTGTTTTTGAGTTTTCTTTTTTCTTTTAAATCTTTTCTTTTGATATATACACGAATATATTTTGAGTTGTCTTTTTTTACTCTCCAAAAAAAATTTTATCTAATGCTTGATATTTTTACAGACCAACGATGCTTTAGGTTCACAATTTAATTGGATATATTTCGTGCCTCTTATAGTTATAGGCTCATTTTTTATGCTCAACTTAGTTCTTGGTGTTCTTAGCGGGTAAGTTATAATATAACGTATTTGTAATCTTGTTTGTAATTTTTATTTATTTAAGTTTTGGTAAATTTCCCCTTACTTTATTTTTTACGTTCAATTTATATTATATTTAATTTATAATTAATTTGAATTATTTTGATTGCGTATATATTGTTCAAGTATTCGGTTTTAATTATTACTATTATAATTTTTCAAGTGAATTTTCGAATGAACGTAATCGCGTTGAACGTCGCATGGAATTTCAAAAATGTCGTTTTCGCGCCATGTTTCAAACGGCAATGGTCTCATATCTCGATTGGATCACACAAGCAGGTTTATATTTATATATAGCTTAATAATTAAATGAACAATAATAACAACAACAGCCCAAGAGTTAAACATAATTAGTTGACAACTAATGTTAAACAATAACACCCTACGCCCGCCCACCCTACCCACCCCCCCAAAAAAAACATGCAATAAGTTTACTATCCATTCACATAACATTCCTATATCCTATTCCCCTAATGTACACAACTACTGCTACTATATGCATATATAATTTAAATCAAGACTAACCTGATTATAATATCCCACCATACATACCGATAATCACCTCTCTATAGAGACCTACTTTGTTTTAGTCTCCAATGTTTTACTTCAAGAGAGAAGAATAGGAGAACCATTTTGAAAAATCGTTTATAAACTAATCTTGCCCTTATTATCGTTGTCTCTTCCCCTCACTCACTCTCTCTCTCTCTCTCTCTCTCTCTCTCTCTCTCTCTCTCTGTTTCTCTCCCTTTCTTTCGCTCTCTCTCTCTCTCTCTCTCTCTCTCTCTTCACTTCACTTCACTTCACTTCACTTCATTTCAATACTCTTTCTCTACGTTCCTCCTTCCGTTTAGCCAGTTTTCATCCGGTCCTTCTTTCCGTTTAACTGTATGTATATTTGTAGATGTTTAGTTATGGGGACGCTTTCGTAATCTGCGGTTAGAATTGATCTATTGATTAAATTGAAAAATTAATACGAACTTAGTTTGGGAAATTTGGCAATTTAAGCAGTCGATTAATCTTTAAGCAAAGCTTTATGAAAACGCTCCTTAGACAAACAAACCTCCTCAAATTTAGTGGTGTTTAGGCTAGAGAGCGGCTAGTGTTTTTTTTTTTTTTTGCGAATTTTCTTTATTAAAACCATTTATTATGGAATGCGTGTGCTAAAGTATACATATATAATTAAAAAAAAAAAAAAAAAAAAAAAAACGAAAACTAGAACAAACCAAAAAAAAGAAACTAGTGTTTGTGCAAGAGAATGCGAACATGAAGGTATGATTTATAATATAACACTCAGCACTGTTTTATGAATAGGTCCTGTCAAAGTTTACGTTGTGCACTCTTCGATGCACCTTGAAAAATAAATATGTTTTCCCTATCACATAAAATAAGCTATTATTTGTTTGTTTCATTGCTATCACATATCAACTCTCACAATATCATTGATGGCAAAAGTATTCGCATAATAAGCTTTTCCTAAAAATGCTAATATCGTATCCAATTCGGGTCTCGTCACCAAAATGAAACTTAATCTCTTTCGGATTAAGGATGAAAATTACTTACACGACATGTTGTGAGCCAGCGTTGGCACGCACGCACAATCATACTTATATACTTTCACAATCACAATATCATAAACGATATTTTTTGCACAAGCTTCATTTGCGCTATTTTCTATAAGGAAGTAAAACAGTATTTAAATGGAAAACGTGCACTGTTTCATCTTCCATTTATTCGCGTTGGAATATTTGAACATTCACATCAAGCGTTTGGAAAAAGAAAAGAAACAAATTTGGCTATATTTGGGTCATAATTAATTCATTTATGAATGTGTATGTGTATTGTGCATATAATTCTAAGCATTACTTATATACGAGCAGTTTCCGGCGATTTTATATATGATGCAACTTTGAAAAAATGAAACCTTTTTCCTCACAGAAGTTCATAAAAAGAAAGTTTAACTGCTGGCGACGGCTGGTGACGCTATTTCGTTTAAATATGGCTACTAATACTGCTTTTCTATTCCTGGCTAGTTCTCGGTCCTGTTCAGCTGTAATACTTAGATGAGACAATTCATAGTATTATTATTAATTTATTTATTTCTTGTCTATATATTTGGTATGGATTTAAAATCTACCGGATAACTTGGATAGTATTGTGCTCGCCTATATTGAAAACTCTACTGAACTGTAAGACGATTGAGTAGTTAGTCGCGATCCTTTGCCTACTCGGCTACTCATGCGGATTACAGTATTATTATTATTTTATTTTTTTTCTTATATCAAAACAGTTGCAAAGCATTTGATGTTTGTTGATGCGCAATAGGTGGATTGACAACCACGTTAAAAGACAAAGAGTTGGAGGTTTCAAAAACTATCTTTAAAACCTCTCAGTTACGATTTTTGAGCTTACCTGAACCGGAAATCCTGAAAGAAACATAATCGATTTTTGTTTTCTTTAATATATATATATATTATATACATGGAATTTACTCATTTTTTCTTTAATTTCGTGACAGGAGAAATTTTAATTATTTATAAGAAATATTGCGTCGTTGGCAGTTTAGCTCTGAAATACATTTTAAAATTTTGTTTTCTTACAACAATGTCTTGGCCGGTGGTATTTTTCATGCCCTATAATTAAGGACTTATATTAGGTGATTGCATGTATTCTAAGCATTTTTTCTTTGAAAGTAAGTAAAGAATTTATTGATCAAAATACATGCAAGCATCAAACATTCCATTGTATGCTAAATCGATATGACGATTTGGTCCCTTTCCCCATTGAAAATTGAAGGATTGAGCGAGAACTCTCACCTGTATAACCTCAATAATTCTTAAAAAACAAAATGAAACGAGAATATGAATAATTTTTTTAAATTGTCTATAACGATTTAGAATTCTGCATCATTTATTAAAGACAATTTTCATATACAAAAAAAAAAAAAAAAAAAAAATACGAGAAGAAAAATCCCATTTGTGCACAATTAATGAGAAGTTAAATGACTCCATTCTTGTCTTTGTTTTTTTCGACTACACACCGTAACCTATTTTTGCCCTTGTCATTTTGATGCCCAGGATAATGCCTGTATTTCTTCAATAAATCATGTGACCATTTCACTTTGTAAAGATTTATAAACTAGACTAGAAATAAATTTTTAATCACAAGAAGCAATTTTCACAATTTATCCAGAAATTTGTATAAAATTTATTCACTACAAGTTATCTAAATGGAGGTATGACTCGTCGTGTTGAGCTTAACTTTGTTAACAAGAAATTTTTCCGCGAAATTTACAAAATAAGTTCCGTGAAGACGAAGGAATGGAGCCGTAAATTCCATTACTAAAATTGAGGCCGACTAATCTCCACACCTTTATTATTGGATATCGAAAATATTATTTGAAAATTTTTTACTTTCTACAAGTTAGAGTTTCTTGAAATATTTTCAATGATGGCGCCGCCATGCCGAACCACTTATCTGGATTTTATTGCTTTTGTTATTTATAATGTGAAAAATTATGGTTTTCTTATCTTCTTGGACTATGTATATAAAGCTTAAAAAGTCGTAGGTTTGCCGCTACTGATCTAAATGAAGAATATGGATACATCTGCGCACCTGTTATAAGCGATTTCTCCGACAATTTTTTATCCGGTGGTCTTAAAATGATTTGAAATGTTCTTTCCGCGTTCGCAAAATATTCCGTGATTTTATGATTTCTTTAATAGATGATATATAGAAAATATACACGAAGCAGCGGTTATCACTTACATCTCCCGTAATCAACTACGCCGCTGTTCGCCGATTAACTGCAATTATTTTTTTAAGGATATTTCATGAATACATGCGGAGAGTATTTGTACTAAATTTCAAATCGTTTATATACTTCCTAGAGCTGCTTAAGTTGCAAAGCGATTCTAAACGGGTTTGCGAGGAAATCACGCTCGTTTCCCAATTTGGTTAATTCAATTGAATAAAATTGAGAATAAATTGAACAAAAATTCAACATAGCTGCCTAGCTCCAGGTTTCCAAATTTTTTCGGACATTTTTTTACATGTTATTAAGCAAAACGGTAGGTGGATAGGTGCAGATGGATGGGTAAGGGCAGAATTGACTTAAGATTTCATGTTGCTTAGAAGTGCATATACTTGAACGACTTGCCGGTGCGTACTTTTATACGCATCATCGAATGATGAGTAGGTATAGTCAGTTTGTGAAAGCGCTTGCAGCACTACGAAGAAAGCTTTAGAGACTCCACAAAGTCACAAAGTATACATACTCTTGATCAGCATCGAATTCTGAATCGTTTAAAGCGTGTCCGTCTCTTCATCCATCCGTGTGTATAATTTCCGTTCTCCTTTCGTCGGAAAAATAGAGCTATCGACTTCAACTAAATAGGTAAGGATATTGCAAGTTCTTGCACGCAGGTTGGTTTTGAAAAAAGGCGAAATCGGTTAACGGATACGCAACCAATACTACGTAAGTTGGGGACACCTGTATTTTCCTCATAACGCATAAGAAAGTGGCTTTTTACTCATTACTCATAAACTACGGCAGATAAATCTATAACAATTTGATCGTATATTCTATGGACGATGCCGTAGCGCTTATAAAAAAAAGACTGGCCCTATTCAATTTTATAATGTCAAAATATCATTTTTTTTCCAAATTTTTATAACGGACAGAAGCAAGGTTCAAAAACCCCATAAATTACACTAGTTCTTGGCCAGTTACACATTCAGAATTAATACCTAAGCATATCTGTCTATTCATGTGTCCGTCTGTGTGCCGGCGCAATTGTGTAGTATTTGTGGCAAACATTCTCCCGTTCGCAAAAATGAAGATATCAGTTACAAGCTTGCAAAAGAATTTGAAATGGATCAGAGCCGATCAAAGGTCACGCCTACAACGAGGGTACACGCCTACGTAATAAAAACTGCGAACACTTTTGCTTTCGGTGTTTTTTTGATGTCACTCATAAAACATAATGAAATGTAGGAAAAGTTATTTTCCGTATTTTTTGTGTATGATATTGATGGGTATAATAGGGGTATTCGGTCACGACCGAATATCTGTTCGAAACGGAAGGAGAAAATTAATACATTCGGAAGCTGCGACAGACGGGAGATGTAATTATTATTATAATTTGTTAGGGTGGCTATGGTTGGCGTTCGTATAAAAATTTGTAGAATTTTTTTGCACAAACGCCTAAGTGTTTACATGTGTATGCTAAACATAAGGATATGAGATATTTCTCATAATCTCACTCGTTTAGAATAAAAGCTTTCTCTGTAAGATTATATAATTTATTTTGTCATTTTTTTGTTTTTTTTTTTTTTTTTTTTTTTTTATTATTTAATAATCTTTTTTGTTTTTGTATCTATTAATTTTTTCTTTTTACTTATTTGTTAATAAATTATTTTCTATTTGAAATTTTTGTTAACATAATTCATATAATATTATAAAAAAAAGAAGAAAAAAAAAAAAAAAAAACATAAACATAAAAAATGCATACTCTCTGTGTACATTTAAATTTTTCGTTTTCTGTTGTTTTTGTACAAATTGTATGTGTATTCTTTGTAGTGAATTCGCAAAAGAACGTGAAAAAGTAGAAAATAGACAAGAGTTTCTTAAACTTAGAAGACAACAGCAACTAGAAAGAGAATTAAACGGCTATGTTAAATGGATATGTAAAGCTGGTATAGTATTACGTATTTTTTCATTTTTTTCTTTTTATTATTATTAATTTTTTGTTTTGTTTTACTTTTTTTTAAATATTATACATAATCACCTCTAATCACACACAATACTTTACTGATACACCATAACACGTCCATGTGATATATCGAAATATTTTATTATTATATAACAGCAATAATTAATCATTATAGCGTTTCTCATGATTGAAAAGATTTTTGAAATAACCCTTTTTCTCTTATCTAATGTTTTGCCCGATATATATATATATATATATATATATATGAACAGAGGAAGTGATATTAGCCGAAGAGCGTACAACTGAAGAGGAAAAAATGCACATAATGGAGGGTATTGGAAATTTTTATACATGAGCCGTTTATTTCGAGCATGGTTCAATATGATTTACATATTATATAAAAAAAAAAATAAGCTGCAAGACCAAAAAGCAAAACCCATCAAATTCTCAAAGGTCAAAAAGGGGAGCGGCAATAAATATTCTGTGATTGAGAAACAATGATATTAAAAACTCTCATGTGTCCATCATTTTTTTTTAGGTCATAACTCGTGGAGGGATGTGGTCATATTAAATTAATTTGAAAATAACTTAAGAGGTAACATCATTGTCAAATTTACTTTAATAATAGATCCTTGGAACCTTCTGGAATATGTAGGAATTACGTAAAGAAATTTTTTCCAAACTCTATGTCAAGCGAACCCCCGTTAGGTAAGCAGCAGACTGAGGTCTTAAGACATTGTTTGCCCTCTCCTACCACTAATTACAGTAACAGATATATTTAGAATCAATTTATTTTTATTAAGAAGCGTTTGCAAATGAAAAGACATTACCGGGTATAGCTACGTCAAGAGGATCGTTGAAGTAATATGCGCCTGAGGGCGAGCCGAGACATTTCAATGTTTCCCCTAAGAAGTAAAAAGTATGTGATGAAGATTTTGGTGATAATAATAAAATCAGCTAAATAACTATAAGTAATCAGATCGTTATCGCATCAAGCGATGCGTAGAGCAGCAGACGGGCACTTTTGATCAAAAAACCGTCAAGAAAAGAAGATGAGAAAATATATTTTAATACACCTGATCATTTTTATGATCATGGGATTACACACTATCGAAAATAAAAGAAAAAAACTAATAATAATAAATTTATTATAATAAATAAAACGTACGTATGCTACATTTCAAGACTTCAAGCGCGTTTTTCTTGAAAGACGGTTTTTCAAAATGGCAAGCAGCTTAACTCCAAAAATTTTCATTCCCTTCTACGTCGAATTGTCTTACACCATACTCAGGTAAAGCAATTGTGAAGTGCGTAGCGGATTTTCGATAAATTAGTTTAAATTCCGCTTTCATTTGCTTAAATTCAATTTTTTGATTCAAGAAAAAATATTTTCAACATTTTTAAACGATTTTATTTCACTTCCATTACTACTGCTTGCCAAAGAGCCTCTTAGTTTAAAGGTATTCCGCGAAAATGGCTCCAGTGTTACCAATTTTTAATAATTTTTAAAAAGAATATTTTTTAAACACCTTATGACCTTGTCGAGTATTAAAATTCTATCACCTTTTGTTTGCATTCCAAAAGGTTTGCCAAGAGATGGACGGTTGTAATGATGTTACAAATTGAACTTGGCTTTTTTCGTCACGTATTTTTATGTCTACGCCATGTATTGTATTTATATGTACACATATTACATATGTGTTAGGGGCTTGCTTGTATTTTGATCGCTTCTTCACTTGAAAAGGCATTCTTTCCGGCAACAGGGCTGGATGATGTGCCGAAAGAACGATATTGGTTGGGCAGCGATCCAATCATTGAACCATTTTCGCACTTTAGAAGCCATGATGTCTAGTGAGTACGCGTAATGGTTGTGAGGGAACTTCCTCTCCTGGACTAACTAACTTATGACCTTATGTACTTGGGATCGTCGCAGTCGATCAACAAATCATTGCCGCTCACAATACGCCATAGATAACTCTTCCTCGCAACTACTAAGCTGTTCGAAAGTGCTTTAAGTGCTTGAGGTTGACTTTTCATCCAATGATATACATTGATACTTGGCATTAATTTATCATTTTCATTAATAGATGTCGCCGATCAAAATACATGCAAAAAAAAAAAAATAATAAAAAATTAAAATAACAATAGAGAATATACAAATGTAAATGTTGAAAATGGCCCGCCTTAAAATTGTTGGGAAAACAGATTTGTTGTGTTTTGAAAATAAACGGCTTATGTATTTGATCGATGAGGAAAGCATCAAGTTTATTTAATATATTTTCTATTTTGAAAACTTTTTAGCACGTAAACGTAATGCTGCCAAAAGTAAAAAACTGAAAAGTCTGGGTAAATCTAAGTCAACCGATACAGAGGAAGAAGAAGCCGAAGAAGATTATGGAGATGATGGTATGTAATATTTTTTGAATGTTTATTAAATATTTCTCCAAATAAATTACGTTTTTATGTATGTATGCGAGTTTATGATTCAAATATGTGTTTGCAAGTTATTCTATGAAAATATTTTATAGAGCATTGTACGAATATTTTCACACTGAAAGAAATTTTTTATAATATATCTATCAATTTTAAACACAAAATTACCAAAACACAACACCAAAAGATGGATTGAAACGAAAAAAAAAAATAAAAAATAAAAGAGAAAAAGGAAATTTGATTTCAACACAACTGTATTAGTGCGATTTTCTTTATCACCGTTTGCATTTCTTGAAACACATTTGTTTACTTCAGAATAAAAAAAGCAAAAAAAAAAAGAAGAATTTTTTTAATTGAATCCAATTAAATTTTGTTTAGTAATATTATGTTTATTTATATTTTCTTAATGAAAAAACCTAATGAATGTGCAAACTTACATAAATAACACAACTGTTGTTGTCCTGTGACCTTTTATGAAAAATACTCATATAAAACTATCTGCAGAAGAAGGTGGCGAGAAAGGTGAAGAAGGTAATTTCTTTTAATTTAATTATTTCTTTCTTTAACTTATTGTGTTATTTTATTTCCTTGATTTATGATAAATTCTCTATGAGTTTTGCTATAATTTGTTTGTCTCTTATTCTATTGTTAATGATGGGTTATTATACATGTCTGTGTTTATATATTCGCTTTAAATTGTTTATATTAATGCGGTAAACGTTTTTCAAATAAACGAAAATATGCGAAGGCGATCGAGTCCATACTCGACTAATCATCACTACTTATCTGTATAAAAATGGTTTTCAAATTTATTTTAAAAATGCTTTAAGAATTGTTTTTTTTTTTTTAATTTCAAAAGCGATAAACATATCATTACCTAGAAGTTAAAAGGGCGTAATTACAGTTTTTTTCTCTCTCAATCTCGCATGCAATAAATATAGGGAATAAATAACTGCTCCATGCATCAATGAATTTTTTTTTTTTTTAAAGAAGAAATTTCGCAAGACAAGAAAGTATATCGAAATTTTTGTGATTCCAAAAAAAAAGAAAAGATTTTTTTGTATATTGTAACAGCAATGGTTAAATTTTATTTCTCGTATAAATGGAACTTTTTCTAGTGGCATAGCATTGTCGGCTTAAAGTAAGTCAACTTTTTCCCACTCTCTGATTCTGTCGCAAATTATAGCAGACGGAGAGGAAAGACGCATATAGTCACGATATATAGGAGAAGTGGTGAAGTTTCGCGTTCGCATGAGCGGCAACGATGTACCGATAAAGTAGCGTGTTTTATATTTTTTTCAAATTTATCCCAATATATAAATTGTACATGTGTACTTGTGTATATGTATAACAAAAAAACATTATTTTTTGACAGATACCTCATATTTCATTCTAACTTTTTGCCGATGTATGAAAAGCAATTGTACAGTGGCGGTGCAATATGTTGGATCGCTTGAATCCAATAAAGACAATTTTTCAATATTAAGGTACTCTCGTTAATCCGACTTTCACTATTCTCGTAAGGAGCGGGAACTATTATATTTTTTTATTACCCTAATAGATGGTTGAAACCTTCGAGATGCTATGGAATAAAAGGCCGTTACCAGAAGGAAATTTTTTATCGAAATTTCGACCTTTTCCCCAACCACTTAGAAGAGATTTTATATGTGAAATAAATCACTGCTGGGTAATTACTATCTAATGTCTTAACCGTTGATTTCTGACTTCTCTTATACACTAATTGACGTCTGTAGATAATATCTACGTTCATGTGAAAGTGTTTCAATGCAAACACACTCTAACGTTGAATAGATATTAGCCTAAGAGCGTATATAAACGTTTGAATGCTTCCTTGCCAATCCCACAATAAATAAATCATTTTATAAAATTATATGAGTTGCACTAGCTGTTGGCATTTAGATTGAACTGCTTGTCGCGAAAGTTTCCCTCCTTCAAAGGAATTGTATATGGGACTAATGCCGGTTCAATCGAAAAAGAATTGCCTTTTCAGCATATACGAATATGCTTTTGTTCCCTACGGCAGCCGACGATTAATGTCGCGTACAAATAAATTGTGGATTAGTAGTAGGATTCGAGTTAATTTTTATTACAGAAGCCAAAATCTATGGAAATTTCGGCATTTGCCATGGAATTTCATATGGAAATACTGAACAAAGATAACAGGTGTGACGGTCCTATTCAAAACTTAAATGCTATAAAAAATTTAAGAGAAAACTTTGACGTTTCCTGATGCACCACAAAAAAACGAAGCGTTGAGAATGCAAAAAAAAAAAAAGATTCAGAAATACCCTCCTCTTTTTTTGACTTTAAAAAGCTAGCCCGGTCTCTAAATGTGCTCGTGTTTGTGTAAAAATCTTGCACCGGATATGATCGATATCGTTCATACTTGAACAGAAGCTTCTGACTATATCCGTTAGTTATGATTTCGTTCGATTTTTACGTTTTTATGGCAACTAACGAAGTAAACAATTCATGGAAAAAGACTCGAAACGATTAGCCATATAAAATTTAATCCAAAGAAAAATGTGAGATCGATCAGCGGACAGTGCCTTCACGACCAGGTTAAATGATCACCTAGGTGTCTCGATTTATATGAAAGCATATCAACTTTAATGGTATTGTGGTCTGATAGAATATATGTAGCTATCGTTTCGCCTTTACTTTAGAAGATGCGAATCTATCTCAGATTATTCGGTAAAGAAGCCTTTTCTGCCGCTTTTAATGATCTTAGTGCTTATCTGAGAGTCAGCGTTAGCTGTAAATATAAGAAAAGCAATGTTATAACTATCGGAAAGAATATTAACGAAGTTTGGATTAACATTAAGTTGTTTTTCTTACCTCTGTTCGGTAATTGATAGTAGATTATTTATTCCGTCTTTGGCTATAAATGTCCTTCGGAGTTTTATTATTTTCTAGTTTTAAAACTAATCTTCTGAAGGGCGATAGTCATTCTTATCCGCATGAGTAGCCGTGTAGGTAAGAATCGCTTGCTGTTTCAAATCTCACCGCGGTAGAGTTTACTTTGGCTGTAGCTACAATGAGTATTTAGTTGGTAAAGGCATAGCACTTATCGATTGAACGTACACCCACTAAGGGTGCAACCCGTCCTCCGTCTCTTTCTTCATTTTCTTCATTTCTTCTCTCCAACCGTCACTGTATTATATGTATAGGACGAGGAGACATGTTTCAAATCTCAACGCGGCAGACTTTACTTTATACGTGTATGGGACATCCCCTGAATAATTGTTATGAGTAGAGTAGTGTTACTACTCTAGCAAAATTTCGCTCTTTCTACTACTAGGTAACAATATGAAAGATTGATATATTGATGAGCAAGGGAAAAATTCGTGATGATTTTGTTTTTTTTTTTTTTTTTTTTGTACTGTTTGTGTATATAATAAAGTTCGTTACTGCTTGTTGAGATGTTATTAGATTTGTGTAACAGCTAATTTTTATATTCGAGTGCGTTTTTGTACAAAACATCAGATATATAGTGTTTTCGTTTTGTTTCTTGATTATGATTCCATTTCTAATTATCAGGTATTTGTGTTAATCAAAGATTTTTTTTTAAATTAATTAATATTTATTATCTGAAATTTGGTTTTAATCAAAATTCGTTGAAATTCGAAAATTGGTTTTTCTATTTGTTATCTACCTGGTCTATTTAGATGTTGTTAATCTTGTCCGATTTCTCCCATTTACCTCTCAATAAACCATAAATGACAAATATCTAAATTAATGCTCTTTATATATTTTTTTTCATTTTCATTTTATTTTATTTCAAAAACCAAAAACCAAAAACCAAAAACAAAAAACAAAAACCAAAAATAAAATGAAAATATCTTTAAATTAAATCCAAAATTACTATTGTAATAAAATATTGTAAAAAAAAAAAAAAAAAAAAAAAAAATACAAAAAAAAAAAAAATTAAAAATAAAATGTGTAAGTAAAACTTTTATTTCGAATTATCGTTTAAAATAAATTTTCTATCACTTTTTAACATTTTTTACACCTCAACTTAAAAATGCAAATATTTATGAATAATTTCTATATAGAGAGAGAAATTATAATAACTTTAGAGATGCATCATTAATTCAACTCTTCACCCAATTCATTTTATCCAATCAATATCATTTAGATAATTGAATCAGAAAGGCTGCTCATCTCAATGAACTTTTTTGTACCCAACACCCGAAGGATGACATTAGATTTGTCATTTCATTTAGAAATTTCAAATATCAAATAATTCGGAAAATGTATGCGCTTTTAATTATCACCAGATTTTGACTCATTCATTCATTTACCCGGTCAGTGAAGAGATTCAAGTTTGTATCCATCTATCGCACGTGGGTTTCCTTTCAAGCTTGATTATTCGGAAAGATTGCATTTAAGCATTGTGGCTCGTACCCGGCTACACTATTCACAAATCCGCGGACTAGCTTATCTTGTTGCAACTTTTTTGGTCGTCCAGGCGGTTCTTTGTCACTGACATGGATCCCATCACTTTTCAATCGTTGAAACCAAAGCCGACAATTGGAATATGATCGAGCAGCGTGATCGTAAGATTTTAAAAGTGTTTGACGAGCTTCAGCAGCAGATGTCTGAAGATCAAATAACAAAAGTAATTAGTATCGAAAATGCGATTTTAAGCGTTCCATGATTAGCGTGCGTATGCATTTAATAATTCATTAACACTAAATGGGGATTCGTTATTTTATATAGAGAAAGTCAAAATCATCGAATTTAATTGTTGTTTAACAATCTTGATTAGCCTCCCCTGATATGGTTACTCGTAAGAAAACTTCATATAGGCGGAATTCAAGATTTGCCCTAAGGCGACGAATAAAGACTGTGAAACTGTCATTGTGTAGTTAGGTGGTTTTCTTTTTTTAATTTTTTTTATATCGTTTTTTTTCGAATAGATCGTTTGGACAGGGAATTGCCCATATGCTTTCGCCGTCTGAAATTTACATATCTTTTCAATAATATAAAAATTTTTTCTAAAAAATTAATACATTTTTCCTTCCAAAATACCGTTACTGCACTAGTTTTGTATATGTGAATGTGATATGTGGTGTTTTGTCTTGTAACAAATGTTCGAAGAACGTCAGAATTCTCATATTCAGACATAAAAGAGACAGCGCCATGAAAATGGGTAAACTTTACCCATTTATATTTTTGTTTCGCTGATGGTCGAAGCTTTGCGCATGCTTGTGATCTATATATGCAAGAGAACCTATCGAAAGCATGTGGATTAAAATATTCATTTCATTTTGAAAATAAGCAGTAACAACACTCTCAAAGAGTTAAATAAGGCATTATCATTTTGGCAAGCTGAAAGAAATATATTCGATGTAATCTCTGTTTACAAGTTTCTAAACAAACAAAAAAAAAAGGTCATCGTTTCACTCGAAATCTAACAAATATCAGGTGTCAGCTGAATAATAACGTGCATCGCTTATTGAGTCTCACGGGCTCGGTTTTGAATTTCTAGAGTTTCTTCTGAGAAAATATTACAGCATATTTTTTGCAAAGTCAGTATTCTCGGAGAGCAAGAGAGCAATCTAATTTTGTTTGACTGCATGATTCGTTTCGATATCGACAAGTTTGATATATCTTCGCAGTTACGAGCAACTATCAGAATAGTCATGTTAAGTTTTTTCTGCATTTTTGATAGAAAGCTGTACACTAAGGTTTTCTACACTTTCCAGATAATTTCGCTTATAATAGTTCTTTGAATTAAAATGCGAGCCATAATTGCCATTAATAGATACAATCACACAGTCAATCGTTCAAACTTTATAAACTGTGCGTCTTTCGTTGTGTAGATGAAAAAACCCCTCGTAAAATATATGAGTAAATTTCTTTTAGTTTAAAAATAACTAAACATTTCTTTCGGTACACGTTTGATTTAATTCCTTTTCTTTTCTTTGTTTCTTGTTTTTTTTTTTTTGATTTGGTTTTGATTTCAGTAAAATTTTGTTTCAATTATAATTTGTTCGATCACAGATATAAATACTAAATAGAGGATTTGTTCTTTTTTTTTTTTTTTTTTTTTTTTTAAAAGCGTATGCATTCGTTTTATAGAGCCGTTAAACGCAATAAAAAATCAACTGCACTTTCAGTCATTATAGTCAAGACGTTCAGTAGAATCCACTGAATCATGCAATAGCTAAAGATGAATAAAAAAAAAAAAAAAAAAATAGAAATAATAATAATAGACATCTAAATTTTGAATAAATTATCACATTATTCGCACATAGCATAACACACCGATACATTTTCTTTTATTTATTTGAATCATTACTTTATATATACTGCGGAATTCATAATGCGTTGGTTTCCGTTTTTTTTTTTTTTTTTTTTTTTTTTTTGCTACGAATAGGTTATTTGAAAACCCGATCAAAACCCCAAGGGAGTTGTGCGGGATTCTGGAGAGCGGAGAAGCGTTTTCGATTTTGGATAAGAAGTACTGTGAAAACGCAATGGTTCTATTGGTTTGTTATAGTTTTGGTGTTCCTCAATACCGTATGTGTAGCGGTGGAGCATTATGGTCAACCACAATATTTATCGGATTTTTTATGTAAGTGATTTTATTTTAGTGAAGCGATTTTTTGTTCCATGTATGTGTAAAATATTTGAGGATTTTTTTTTTTTTTTTTTTTTTATGTGAAATTAATTAAATAGAAATTTGGTTTCATTTTCGGTATTCTTATAACATGTTTTTGTCTTTGTTCATTTATTTGATTTCAGACTATGCTGAGTACGTGTTCTTGGGTCTTTTCATGTCGGAAATGTTCATAAAAATGTATGCCTTGGGTCCACGCATTTATTTTGAATCATCGTTCAATCGTTTCGATTGTGTCGTCATTAGTGGTTCGATATTCGAAGTGATATGGTCTGAGGTTAAGGGCGGCTCATTCGGTTTATCCGTATTAAGAGCATTGCGTTTATTGCGCATATTTAAAGTGACCAAATATTGGTCATCGCTGCGAAATCTTGTAATTTCGCTATTGAACTCGATGAGATCCATCATTTCATTGTTGTTCCTGCTCTTCTTGTTCATACTAATATTTGCCTTACTGGGCATGCAATTGTTTGGTGGCCAATTTAATTTTACGGGCGGTACCCCAGAAACCAATTTCAACACATTTCCCATTGCCTTATTGACTGTCTTTCAAATTCTAACCGGTGAAGATTGGAATGAAGTCATGTATCAGGGTATTATTTCGCAAGGTGGCGCCAAGAGAGGAATGATTTACTCTGTGTAAGTTTTTATTTTAATTAATTTTCTTTTTTAATTTTCTTAAAAAAAAAAAAAAACGAAAAACTTTCATTTCTCTTACTCCTTTCTTCATAAACTATTAACTAAAATCAAATTTTTACTTAACATTTATTTCCTTTCCATTAATTTTTCATTTCTTCTCTGTGTACAATAAGCCAAATTTGTTTATAATTTTATTCCTGTTTTTTTTTTTTTTTCTACTTTTATTTTTATTTATTTATTTATTTATTTATTTATTGATTTGTTTTTTATATATATATGTCTACAAATAACTGGCGCTAGTTTTGAAAATAAATAATTAGCAAAAAGAAAAAAATTAGCTTTAAAAATAATTTTCAATATATTATCATTTATAAAAATTATTTTCTTTTAAAAGATCATCGTTTCTTAAGCAAGAATTTATAACTTTGTAAAATTTGTTAGCTTCAGATCTCAATTTATTATTTCTCTAGTGTAAAATCAAATTTGTAATTAAAATTTATTAGAGTTACTACTAAGCTTCCTCCCGGAACAGTTTTCAAGGCAACTTTCCATTTTTCCATTTATTTTCGTTTCTTAAGTTACTTTTATTAGCCCAAATCAAAAATCATTCATATAGCATATATTTAAAGGATGCCGGCATTACTTTATTAGAAAGTAATTCAAATTCATGAGTAATTAAATATAAAGAAATAATAATATAAAATAAAAGTTAAGAAAAAGTTTCGACGACTCGTACTATTTTACAACGTGACTTCACTTAATGTCTGAGCGACCTTAGGACTTCATCCGCTGACTTTCACTCACCGACTGACTTGTTTCTCTCCGTTTTCCTGTCACATCGAGACACCTACACTTTACCTACATTTACAGAACATTTCGTTATGGGAGAAATCTATCACTCTTTCGCTGGCTGCATAGCCCGTTATGAGGATACTTTGATAAAACTGCACAAGTTAATAAAAAAGAAAAAAAAAAACAAAGATCAAAATAAGCATCCAATAGAACAGTTTTTACTTCCCTTTGTTTCTTGACTTAAAAGCGACTCCGTTATATGCGGCTTTAAGCAGTTCAATCTGTCTCGATGTTATTTTATTTTATTTAAGCTCTAAAGCTGTGAGTTCAACGAAATTGCGAGCATTGCTTTTTAACAAAACTCTTGAGCCACATAGCCACATAATCAAGAGCGGATTTTGCAATAACAAAAAGAAAAGTAATTTTTGATCGATTTAACTCAAGGCAGATGAACTCTTAAGATTACACAGGGTTCATAGATTGACATTGAGTCAATGTTAACATTATATGCAAAAAGGGGTGAAAAATTTGTGAGAAAGATGCGATCGAAGGCAAGACAAGAAGAATTTGAACGAAACGAGTGCCTCTATACATAAATTCTCAGAGCTAAACAGCAGAAGGGAAAGGATAAGTACATAAGAATTTATGTCTTGAAGACTGGAACTCGAGGAAGCCGTACTAAACCTGTGCAAAATTGTAGGAGAATTTTCCAAAAGCTACTTCGATTCCCTTTTACTTTCAATTTTCATTTATAAGCAATAATAATGATTCCAGATGTCCAGAGTATATATATATATATATACATATATTTCCCATACTGTTACATGCTTTTCCCAAATTTGCTGAATAAAAAGAAAGAAAAAAACATAACAGAAACAATTCTCTGAACGTCGAACCATTAATGTGTACAATCTCTAGTGTACAAAGAAAGTTACTGCCATCAATTAACAAAATGCTCCCCTTTCAACCAGAACAGAACACAGACTTTGTTCGATTTGTTATAAAATATATTAAATGAAAAGTTTAATATACGCCAAAGTGAAAGAGTTTTATAAATGCTATATAATAACAATAATCCTCTTTCCTTGTGCCCAGAATATATTTTGTAACAAATTAACAAAGTTGAATATTCAAAAAAAAAAAAAAAATAAATAAATAAATAAAATATGTCAACGTTCAGGTATTAGTTTTAATATTTTTGTTAAAATATTTTCTAAACGTTTTGTTTGACTTGTAGCAATAATCCCATGTTTTTGATAATATTAAACCCGTCACTGTAACAATATATATAAATATAAATTTTAGAGGGAAATATAGGAATCATAATTATAAGTCCGAGTTCATATTATTATCAAAATGACAGGACATTGTAATGGCAAATGAGAGCTTATTGGTCGGGGGAAGGAAATCTAAACCTCTTAAGCATTAAAGAGCCTACGTTACGAAATTTCCTGAATATTCTCTTACTAATCAGTTGTTGTTGCTTTTGAGATGTCGATAATTTACTAAGAAACTAATCAAGTACTTCCTCATTTAACAAAAAAACAAGAAGAAAAACCTGACAAGTCAAGTTAATCATCCATTTGAGATATTCAGTTAGAAACGCAATGACAGTGACAGTGATTGAAGGTGGTCTACTTACGGTACATACCTCGCCCAAAATGAAGCATAAATGAAGTAATGCAAGTAAAGTAGAGTTCTAAGATAACTTTCCCGCAAGGAAATTGTAATCTTTTTCCGGATCTATTTGATCAGAGGAAGAACATTAACGAAATACTAATGAAACAGTGATGGGTATAAGAAGTTACGGCTTAAGTCGAGTATAATTTCTCCCTGGTTTGTTTTTTTATTTTGTTCTCATTAACTTATATATATATATATATATAAAGCATAGTTGGATTCGAAATCAAAAATGTTCTTCTTTGGATGGCAATTGAATATCTATGGCCATCGATAATTCCAGGTCAATTATTATAGAAACCAACTATGATCTTGACCTCCCTCTTCTCTTCTAATTATCTTGAGAAAATTGTTATGAAAATAGTTTAATACGTAGTAGCTTGTTGGCACAAAAATTCAGTTAATATGCATTAATCCTATAAAAAAATTATTTAGAAATCCTTAAATAAATATTATTTTATATATTAAATATTGCATAACAACTAATTAGAATGCAAAAAAACAAAGCCAAATAAAATTTAGTTTTTCGTATGTATTGTTTTGTTTTGTTTTTTTTTTTTTTTTTTTTTTTAAGAATTTGAAATCATTCCTAAAGCTTAATAAATTTAAATTAATAGAGATCTCTTTTCAAACCTAATCTTGCACGCTTTAAAACCATGCGTTTTTATTTAAATTTATAAAATGCTTGAAGGAATAAGAATTTTTTTTCGAAATGACGCACCAAAAGCTTTATTAAAGCATAGTTAAAAGAAAAACCCCCAAAAAAATGTACTAAGAAGGGTTGACTAATATTCGGTTTGTATCGAATCTTTTCTTACTCACCACATGCTTGCTTGTGTAGAAAAATAGATCCGAAGAGTAGCACAAAAATATCGAATATAGTCGAACAGGGTAGGCAAGGTAACGAACATAACCGAAATATTATAACGCAAGTTAAGTTTTTGAAAACTATTTCAGAATTAATCGATAGACTAGGGTAGTTTTTATTATATCCTACATAACTTATAGTACATGTGGGATATGTTGAGTTTGCGCCGATGTGTATAACACACAGAAGGACTTGAGATAGCCCAACATGTTGCTACATCGATTTAAGGTTGTCCGTCCATCCATCCGTCCGTCCGTCTTGTTTTCTTTCGATCATCTTACAAGCCGAAATTCGTGAGAAATTTTGATAAAAATTGTTACACTGACGTGTTTTGGCCCAAGGACGAAAGCTATTGAAAATGCTTCGGATCGGAATGCCTGTTTAAACCGCTTCCTACATAACGTTTGTTTGACAAGTTGTTCTAGGGTGATCTGGGGTATTTAAAGGTGACCCGTGGCTCACTATTTACCGGTTTGGAAATGGTTCGGATTGGACCAATTTCTGGCCTACTTTCCATGTAACATCCTATTTTGAAAAGCGCTTATATGATTAACTTTATTAAGCAAAGTGATGTAGGTAGAGTATTTATTTACTGGTAGGCTGTATGTCTCACTACAGTTTTCTATGTGTTGAAATTATCCTCGGATCAATCACATGCAAATCCTGGGGCGGGAAAGTAACCAGGTAAATCGCGATTCTAATTAAGGATGCAAGGTTTTATATTTCTATGCATTAAATAGATGCTTGCATGCAGACAATGTAAATGAACTGAATGGAATGTGGTGGGTAAAAAATCCATGAAACGAAATTAACGAAATTAAAAAAAATTATTTGATCGTTGAGGGAAGCACGCGAACATCGATATATTAATCTTATCTTAAATCGCACTTTACAACAGATATTAAATTTGCATGATGTTACAAAGAAAAAAAAAAAAAAAGAAAAAAAGGAATGCATGAAAATTAATAAGGGTTTTATTATTTAGCCATCTATATTACCAAAAATATGAAAGAAAAGAAATAAGCAATGATAAGTGAAAGGTTTCGCATCGAGGAGTATCTTGAACACCCACCACCTACCATGCCTTAACATATTACAATAGTTCGGATTGTTTTATAACTGTCTTTTAATTGGCCATACTTTACTTTTACTTGTATATCATGCTCGATTCTCGATCATTAATTACAAAATAGGATAGACATTGCACAGTTTGAACTGTGTCTGTGTATGTGACCGCGAAAATGATAACTGCTACACGTGCCAATAAATACCATTACAGTGGATAGCACGCTTTAAACCCTACGAACTGTTATTCATTTTTACCCAATAACAGATGGGCAGCAAATATTTATTAACTGTTTTAACTGATTACTTTTCATTTCTGGAGGCCGATCTGTAAATGATTTCTCGCTCACACAGAATGAATTGTACGGAGCTATGAAAGTGCTTGTGCTCTTCTCTTTTATTTTAATGAAAATCTTTGTCGTGCTTTTTGCTAATTTGAGAATAACGGTTGAGCAATGTATATTACATACATTGAAATTGATTGAAAGATTGCTAGACACCAATCAATAATACCATAGAAACTTTTAACAGTTAATGAGCAGCAATGTATTTTCTCCCGAAATTTCCTTTAGTACGTCATCTAGGACGGCACTGACAGCGTTTGAAATAGATGAGATGTTGACATCGTCTTGAGCAAAATGAAAGTGCAAATCTGAAAGCGAGATTTGTCGAAAATTTACATTAGTTTTAGCAACAGAGCTATCTTCGATTATTCGCATAAGAATGAAAAAACCCGATGGGAAAAAGCTTAGCATTGCCTCGAAATATGTTAAGACAACTCTTCTCAATACTTTGGTGATCTGTTGATTTTAAATCAAGTCATACGGACGTACGATGTACTATGAGTAAATATGACATCCCAAGGGTAATACATAATGTCGCATGAAAATTTGGGCATGAGAGTTGCCCCGCTCACTATATTGGCAAATCGTTCTTCTATAAAGACGGCGTCGAAATCTTAAAAAAAACATTGAATCATCTCTGGGACTATGGCTTCTCTTGATGAATATAATCAATTATTTTATTAAAAATTTTTTCTTTATTAGTCCCGGAAAATATTGAACAAAAAAACTTCCTATCCTTTTTAATTTGAATGTGTTACCGCTTGGAGGAATCATTTGGCTACTGTGGTGTACTGTGTCGGACGTAAACTAATGCAGAATACAAAACAAGTTGTGCAGTTTTCTTCAATAGCAACAAGGGAAGAAAATCTCTGACCAAGTGATCTCTTCTGGGGAGAGACTTTGAGCGTTGTATTAAAGGCAATTTTTTTTTTTTTTTTTTCTTATTACTTCAAATTTCGAGGACGACAAGAAACACCTTTATTTTAGGCATCATATTCATACTGCATTCATGCAGAAGTTGGAATAGTAATAATATTATTATAGATAATATATATATATATACTGCTCCTTGATCTAGTAACAGTTTATAAAGGAATTTTTTAACAGACAAATGATAATAATGATATTTGTTTTTGTAATTATGAATAAGTAAAAGTAAACGAGTTGACTGAATTTTATTATCTCTTTAAGCTGGATGGTGGTGCGGTGCGTAAAATCGAAGAGCGAAGCGATGATTTGGGAGCAATATTCAACGAAAACAGTTTTTGTTTTTCTATGCCAGGCAAAAAAAAACTTAAACTTTTCGTATAAATTTCATATAAACATAATCCAGTGAACGTGTAACGTATGCAATTATTTGGGAGTATTTTTATTATGAAATTTAGGTGATGGATTTTAATCGAGTTCTAGCGAAAGCTTAATTGCTACTACAATTTATTACATGTACATACATATTTACTTAAACATACACTCTATATATATATATATAAAAATTTCTATATAAAAATTTTTACTAAACAATTTGCTTTATAGCTATGCTTCTTGAGCAGCAATTTCAGCGATAACAACTTCTACTAAACAACAAACAACGGCTTAATGTTTTTTTTTTTTTCAATATTCTTCAGAATTCTTGTGCTTAATAAATTGCAATTCTACTCGTCTCCTGGCTAGGCTAACGTTAACGAACAAAAGAGATTTAAATGATTTTTTTGTGCTTAACAAAACGATCATAAGGAGTTTTTTTTTTTCAAGTTTATAATAAGAAAATTTCAAAAAAAAAATCTATTAATTTTTTATTAATTAAAAAATAAGTAGATTTTTTTTGTAATTGAATTTTCTATAATTCTTCAAGAGAATTTTATTTTTCTCATAAGCGCACACACATCTAAATTTTTTTGATTTAAACATTTTCAAATAATTTTTAGATTTGCAAAATAAATAATTCGTCCATTTATTGTGTTTCTTTTTTGAATTCTTGTTTTTATTACATTAATACCTTTAACGCCTACCGTATATAGTTAATATTAAAAAACCATTTTGTTCGTTATAAACATATTTAATAACTACTAAGAGCGCAGTATTCAGTAAATAATTTATATATCTTTCTATTGTAAATGTTTCACGCTGAGCCTTCTATTCTCCTGTAATGAATATCTAACTGATTCACACTTATATATATATATATATATATATATATATATATATATATATATATTATAATATATATCTTTATCGAGATCAAGCTTTCATATAATTTTAAATAATGAAGAACCAACATTAAACATTAAATTTCTTACACATACGTATATATGTATAAATTTCTCTTCCCATATTTTCCATGATTAATTAATTACAAAATTAACAACGTTGCGGCAATGCGGGATAATCGATGATGAAATTTTTTATGGGAATGCTTGCAGTTATTTTATCGTTTTGGTACTTTTCGGTAATTATACGCTACTGAATGTGTTCTTGGCCATTGCCGTCGATAATTTGGCAAATGCTCAAGAGCTAACAGCTGCCGAAGAGGAGCAAGTCGAAGAGGATAAAGAGAAACAATTACAAGAGCTTGAAAAAGAAATGGAAGCCTTACAAGCCGATGGTGTTCATGTTGAAAATGGTGATAGCTCAGCAGCGGCTACCAAAGCGAAAAGTAAAAAGAAAGAAGAAGAGAAGAAACAGGAAGAGGAAGAAGTTACAGAGGGTCCAAAACCAATGTTACCATATTCATCAATGTTTATACTATCACCAACAAATCCGTAAATACTTAATTTTATTTATTATAATATTTTTCATATTAACTTTTCGGCCTTTATAATACGTACGTATGTATCGATTTCGATATTATTCGCTTATACATATATATTTATCGACAAGTATTAGATATGTGTGCGTGTGTGTATGTATGTGTGTTTGCGAGCTCGATATAGAAATTTTCCAAAGATACTGCTGGCCATATTGACCCTATTCCGCAGTGCTATCGCTAGGTATTATTTCGCTGATCCTAGTTGCAATTGGTACGCTTCAAATAGTGCCAACTTAATGGAATATCTTATTGGCTTTCAGCCACTCTTCTCTCCATCTGCTGTCTCTCTAGCCATCTAACATCCACGTGCATCCTGCTTACGAAGTCGAGTTTGACAGTGACCCCCTTTGTGTGTGTGTGTGTGTGTGTATGTATGCGTATGCTTATGCGTATGCATTCAAAGTTTAAAAGCAATATTGTATTTGCGTAGACTTTTATTTACTTAGTTAAGGAATCGATAATGAAGTAGCCACGGAGATGCAGAGATTCCAGAATCTTTGGTGAAAGCATAAGTTTTGTTTAGTTCACTCAGTGACATACATTTGTTCGGTACAAAAATGTGGTTCACATATCGGTCCATCTCCTGTACGAAAATATGATGAGTATTCACATTTTCAGTTAATTGGTTTAATTGGTTTGAAATAAGTGGCAAGTGTAGGAAGAAATACTAGATGAAGTTCGCATTTATAAAGTAGCGATTGACGGCACAGCCTGACGAAACTATTAGTTACCTAGAACCTCGTATAAATAAATAAAAACCAGTAAAAATACTGCATATCAAATACCCTACACTACTTCGCTTAGTACAGTTAGTCATATAACGACTTTTCGAAATCGGATGTTCTATGAGAAGTGGTCGAAAAATTGATTCAATCCGTAATGTAATAACGTACATCCTTTAACCAAAACGTGTCTGTATACCAAATTTCGTGATATCATCTTGAAGATTGCGCTATGTACGGACAAATAAGCTTAACCCGCTTTGTAAGATGACTCTGGATGGGTCTATCTCAAGTCTATTTGGGTATTGCGTACATCCACACAAACTTAATATATCTTCCCTCCGCAGGTGTAGGGTGGAGAGTACAAAAATAACGTACGTGTCCCAAATATCCTTTTGGTAACTTTTTTCAGTGCAACACAAAAAGCCTGCGAACACTTTCTATACTGAGACAGCGGACTACGAACAATTGGTTTCTTAGGTAGTATCAAAAGGGATGAGTCAGTGAGCGTGAGATAGTTGTTGGTTTGTTTTAGAAAGAAGTAATGATAATTATTTTGTCTTCTATTTAGAGTAATTGAAAAGTTCGTCGACGAATGTAATAAAATATGTTTATAGATATATTTCGTTTGAGCTCAATAGAATTTTTCGTTTCAAGTGTAAGAAGCACTTGAGTAGGATATTCTCCTGAAGCCTCTTTTAAGGAAGTCAGTCACTTCCGTGAAATCGTTACGTTTATGTATTTGCCGTTTTGAAGATTCGAAAGCATCCTTCAAAACTCCACATACTACTTTGCTTACTTTGAGTCAACTTTTACGTTATAAGTTAGTAGTGCAAGTGAAGTGAGTACGGGCAAATGCTGTTTTAAGTCGAAGACAATAGAAATAAGTATATATGTGTTTCTATCATGCGCTCTTAACGACCGATATTTAAGTAGCTGCTAGGGAAATACCCTGAGAATAAACTTTAGCTAATATCGTAGTGATAGGGAGATTGATAGCAACTTACTGGCTAATTATCAGGTAACATATTCAAATGTAGATCTAGTCAGAGAGGCATTTCGTCATTGCGTAAATTAAGTTAAGTATTCTCTTTAATACCCCTAAGTAATTGTAATTGTAAGTTATACCGATAAGTATTTCTTTTAGTTATAGCAAAAATTTTATAACACAGGTAATTGATTAATCGTATATTTTCTCTCATATTTTTTTCTTTTATATTTATATTGTTTATGAATCGCTTAATTATATATTTTCTTAATTTATAATATATATATATATATATATATATATGTATACTATATTCTATATACTATATATATATATATATATGTATATATATATATTAATTTTTTCAATTTTTTTTTTTTTTTTTTTTGTGTTTATTACTTTTATAATTTTTATTTTCAACAATAATCAAACGTCTGCATGATGCACTAAATACAACTTAAACATGAATCAACAACAAATTCGCCTTCACAATGCTCTAATCACTGCCAACTCACTTTTAAATCATGACGGTTCAACAAAATTAACAACAACAAAAAATATTAAAAAAATTAAAATTAAAAAAATGTATGAAAAATAAACAATTAAAAAACAAATTCAAATTTAATTATGCAACGAAATTCTCGATCGGCCTTATCATCATCAACAATGACAACAATAACAACAATAACAACCACAAAATATAATTGGAATTGAATTGAAAATTGAATTGAACTGCCAAAAAAAAAAAAAAATATATATATATATGAAACGATTCGCATATAGGATACGTCGTGGCGCCCATTGGGTGGTTAATTTACGTTATTTTGATTTTTTCATTATGGTCGTCATCTCATTGTCATCGATAGCGTTAGCGGCCGAAGATCCCGTGCGTGAGAACTCGCCACGAAATAAAATTCTAAATTATTTCGATTATGCATTTACCGGCGTATTCACAATAGAAATGTTACTGAAAATTGTAGATTTAGGTGTTATATTACATCCTGGCAGCTATTTAAGAGAATTCTGGAATATTATGGATGCTGTGGTCGTTATATGCGCTGCTGTTAGTTTTGGCTTCGATATGAGCGGTAGCAGTGCTGGACAAAATTTATCAACAATCAAATCGTTGCGTGTCCTACGTGTCCTGCGGCCATTGAAAACAATTAAACGCGTACCAAAATTGAAGGCCGTCTTCGATTGCGTAGTCAACTCATTGAAAAATGTTGTTAACATTCTAATCGTGTACATATTGTTTCAATTTATATTTTCTGTCATTGGTGTACAATTATTCAATGGGAAATTTTTTTATTGTACGGACGAAAGTAAACATACTGCCGAAGAGTGCCAGTAAGTAATTTATAAGTTTTTCTTCCTTTTAATTTTTAATCTTCCTTTATTTTTTCTTATTATTATTATTTCATTAATAATTAATCTAAAAAATGAATTATTATATTCAATTTATTTAATAATTATTTTATCAATTAGGAAATTCTTTTTCTTTTTTTTATTAATATTCTTTGTGGCTTCAGCAAATTTTATATAAAACTCAATTGCTTTTATTTTTTTAATTTTTATTTTTTTTTTAGTTTTTAGTTAAAATCTAGAAAACTCTTTCTTTCCTATACAAAAACACGAAAAGTTAAAAAAAAAAAAAAACAAAAAATTCATAATTAGTCTTTTTAGATTCAATGTTGTAAAAATTGTTCATTTATATTTCTATATGTATTTATTTAATTTTTTCCTTTTAATTTTCTTAAAAACCCTGTGAAATATTGTCTTTTGCTAGATCTTTGTGAAATCGAAATACTTTTACATATTTACACATTTTCTTAGAAAAAAAAAAAAAAAAAAATTCACAAAAAAAAAAAAAAAAGAAACTCTTCTCTTCACAAAACTAACCGTTTATTTCTTTTCATTAAACGTCTGTAAAACGCAACGTACTAGATTCGCGAATATCTTTTGTCTCGTACCTAAAATCCATATTTTCCACTATACGTATCATTCAGAACAAAAGAAGTTAAATGCTTTTTTGTAACTATCGTCACAAATGTGTTTTACTAGCTAGCTAGTGCTTTAGTAACAGTGTTTGTGTACATATCTCAAATTAGTTTTACTTATATCACATATATATATATATAAGTGTTAAAACGAGATCTATGCTCCTTGCGTTAAGATCTATTCAAGCTAATCCTCATGTTTCAAATTAACATAGATAACGATTACAAAAATCCAATAGTTTTTACTTCCACCACCTATAGGATTTATCTGATATACACATACTTTACATACAGTAAAACCATTATCAGAAATGTTATAAATTTAACGTTACATCTTTTACATGTTGTTCAAAAGTTACTGCGAAGTCACTCCGAACCTAAATTAAATTAATTAGTTAATGTTGCAAGCATAACTTTGATTGAAGCAAAGTACACATTGTTAGCTGTTGTCGAACAGTTAATGCTTACCCTAGACCTTCAATAATAATAAAACAATAGAAATGCCCAAAATCGCTCCTTGAGCCAGTCTAAAAGGACCAAAAAATAAGTAAAATTGATAAAAAAAAATTAATTAATACGAGATATTATCTGCACTGGCCTGACTAACAGCTTCCATTCGAGTTTGCATTGAATGAATAAGTTGTTTTACAAAATTCTGCATATTTCTGACATCCCATGCCAGTTCTCCGAGATTCGTAAGAGCTGTCTGCGACTCCTACAGCTGTCCCATAGGTGATCAATGGAACTGAGATTTGGGCTGTAATATTGGCGCATTACAAGCAGCAGTATGCGATCTTGCGTTGTCAGGCATGAAAATGGAATTTTCGCCGATAAGTCCCGAAAAAGGTGTTGCGGTTTCTTCCAGAGTTTCTTTGTTGTAATATCAGATTGGTCGGTCGGCATTGGGCCGGATGATGATCGTATGTTCGGTTTTCGCTTCCAGTGATATGCCTATCGAAAACATGCACGCTCATCGAGTCTCGATTCAGTCCAATTTAAATGTTCTCGATCGAACTGAAGGCGTCCTTGCCGTTCGACTGGGCTTGCTGGTCTGTGCGCTGTCAGGCCTCCTTCGGCTAATTTTCTCCTAACCGGCCATCGTCTGACTTCCACTGCTCTAACTTTGGAGCTGCTGTCCGAGTCGAAGTGCATTTAAACCGCGATTTCGTAGTGATGATGTCGCAAATAAACGATCATCACGCTTGCGTTATGACACGTTTTCGTCAACTTGCTCGTTACCGAATAGATCCAACGATGTCTTGCTAACGCTGGTATACACTTTAAATAACGCATCGGCTCAAATTTAACTGTCGTGCCACTTGGTTTTGGTTCTGAGTAGCTTCAATTAGTGTAACAACTTGAGACGTGGCTTCCGGCGTGGTATCCATTTTCTTACTCTGCATAGTCCTGTATTTGATAAAGCAACTTTTTGCATTATGTGTTTTTCAAAGGCGAACAGTGCATACTTTAGTTTAATTTAAGTTATGCTTGCAACATAAATTGAATTTCATAATTATTTTGGTTCGAAATGAAAATGTAGAGGATGTGCGACTTTGTTGCTCTCGAGTGTGTATAGGATGTCCCAAAATTTATGCAAGATTCGACTTAACAAAAAGAAAACTGTATATTTATTGAATGATGATTGTATATAGGATGGAGTTGTTATGGGAGATAGTGGATCGTGGAAGTGGACTACACGCGTTTGCTGGTACTTTCATCGAAATTCTGATCACCAAGAAGTTTTCATGGGATGCACAGCACGTGGCATTTGTCTTTTTGAACCCATTTGTCATTAAACATTGGACAGAAATAACTGGGTTACCATGGCGCGATTTCGAGCACCAGCCTCATTTTCGAAGAAGTATGACTTTGAAATCTTTATTGTTCAACAATGAGAAGGCGTTACTCTTTCGTAAACTGTCAGTTGTCAAACGGACATAGAACTTTTACACGGATTTAATAAATATTTCTATAAAGCTGTAAGTCACAACAACAACGAACTTTGTCAATCTCTGATCTAAAGGATTTAAGAGACGCGCAGATGCATAGAAAATAACAAGTCATTAATCGCAACCAATTTTTTTTTTTTTTTTTTTTTTTTTTATCAATTTACTATTAATTGTCTGCTGTGTAGATATGTTTCTCACCGTTACGGCAAGCGCATAGTGACTTTGGTGTCGTGCATGGTGTGCCATGTAAAAAATTGTTAACTTGTCTTAACATCATATCCATCGTGTGTCCGGAAATTGTCGATGCATTGAAAGTCATAAAATTGCAAAAATTTTTTCTTTAACTAAAATGTAAATCATGTCCGAAATGTCGATCAAATTATGCTAATTTAAAATTAATAAAAAATTAATTTAATCCTTAAATCATCTTTGGTAATTACACTACAGTTTAATTATCTTATCGTGGAGAATGTACATATATTCCATGGGGCCAGTTTATACGCCGCATTTTTGTTTACTAATGTAATGGGAAATCTTTCAAATAAACGAGTTCAACTCCGGTCAAAGTCGAGCGGATGCAAATGGGCCTAAAAGGTAACATTTATATACATAATAAAAATAATGTAATTTTAGCCTCACGCATAAATATCTTTTCTCGGAGGGATAAAGAAAAAAAGAAGTAAGATTTAGTACCACAAAGTGAGATGCGTCGTTTGTCGGTATAAATTTAGCGAAACCCGACATTTTGGTCACATACGAAGTGAACTTGTCTGTTTTGTATTTTTAAATGACCAATTATTCAGGAGATGTTTCCTATTGGCGCAACACGGTGACGGCCAGAACGGAGAGGTAGCGAAGAAGGGAATTTCGGTAGCGGTAAGTGTTACGCTCTAAACACTCACTGTAGCTGAGCCCGCGAATACTGACTTGTTAGTGGCGTTTCTTATCTACTGGACTCATTTTGTGGAAATTGCATTCAAACGCGTGGAACAACGTATGATAATCAAACGCCAAACCCTTTTTTTGGGTTATTTCATCTTCTTTTACTACCTATCCATTATTGGATATAGGCCATAACATTTGTTTTCTGTCCAAGCGTTTACGCCCTTCGACGAGAGCTTCCATTATCGAGCGTAGCAGCTCCTATTTTTCTCCACGTGCTCAAAATACGCAATATTAAATTGTTTAATCATGTTCAGAGTGTGTTCTTCTCAAGCGTTCAACTGATTTATAATGTCTGTGATTTTAGACCATACCAGAGCACCGACCATACGAATCATTTCATGAAGGGGTAGGCGAAGGTGAAGACGAGAAAATAATCTCATTTCGTGAATGAAATTCTAGAATTTTCTGATATTTCGCCATCCTAGTCTTCGTATACAAACTTGAAAACCCTTTCCATCTTTTAGTTATTAATTGATAGAGTGGAATCTGCCTATGGGGTTTTAGCTAGACTTACGATCATAAATTTGAATTTGTTGGTGCTTAGGTTTAATCCAAAGCTATTACTTTGATTATTTAGAGCTTGAACAATCGTCTGCCGATCCTGCATATTACCAGATAGTATAATTGCATTCTCCGCATTGTCCAATGACCTTAATGCCTGTTTCGGTCGTTTGAGTACGTTCTAGAAAGCTTCCCTTGGGAAAGATTTTTTTTTTGGGTTAAATAGACCAAAGTTGCTTGTAATGTTTGCAAAGTATAATGGCTGCAGAATATTTTAAAACTTTTGCTGTTGAGAGAGTCAACAGCGCGATTGTGTATTCAGTAAAAATTAGTTGGGTCCGTTTTTTAAGAAGGAGTGTTTCATGGAAGTGTGAATGAAGCTGTGAGCTCATCCTTCTAAGCTATACGCAGCTACATAAGTTATCACACCGAAGCGTGCACAAATTTACTCTTCCTGCCTATTTCAAAGGATATTTTTTTGCTAAATTCTTATAAGTGATGAATAGTAGTGGATGCGTTGCGATGTTGAAAGCCCGATCAAGGTGAATATGAGAACCGGTCGCACTTGGTGAGTGGTTCGTTCCAATCAAATGAAATCAACGCTACTAACCGTAATATCTGCCATTGCGATCAAAAATGGTCGTGATACGCTAAAAGTAATGAATATCGTGAGCTTTTCCGTCCTCATATAGCAAAACATTTCCAGCTTGTTACTAGCAACCATTATTCCTCTCAATTAACACCCCCAATAGCCCCAAAAGATGAGATATTCTTTCGGAATGGAATTTGGAAATTTCCTGAGAGGCGGGAAAAAAGTAGTAGATAGCGATGGGCAATATTTTCGCTGATACACTCACTCATTTTATTTTCAAGGAAATGCATTTTTAACGGACCGAACTAATTTATACTCCCAGTAATTTTTTAATTAAAAATTGTTCATTTTTAAACATTATAGATACATATATGTGTACACAAAAGAATGTCTGTCCTCGCATTCCCAGATAAAATGTCATTCTAAAATTTAAAGATTTAAAACTAGAATTCACTATAATACGACTTAGCTCTGTGTGCAATAATACCTTTTCACCACAAACACATATAGATTGAAAGTATTCCCTAGGCCTAGATTAAAAGGCTAGAAATAAAATTACAGTAGATAGTAAATCCTAAGGTGGTGGGTTTTTCGGGTAGAAGAAACTAAAAAATCAATAAATAAAACAAAGAAGAAAATTTCGTTAGAGCGCGTTGTTTTTTAAAGCAATTAAGAAAAAAAAAAAAAAAAAAAAGAAAAAAAAGAGGACCTAGTAATGCTTTATCGCGCATTCAGGGGAAATAAAAGCATCCATATAAAGTACTTTTTAAATGCACTGTAAGTCTGTACACAACACATAAGAGACCATGCCGCGAAACCCGTCACAGCAACAATGCAATGTTACCTAATGGCAAGTAATAAAATCGTCGCCGATTGAATGAATTGAAAGAGTTATGATATATAGTATAAATTCTGACCTATTCTGACGTTATTCTTTTTACGATGATTAATCCACTGTAGAAATGTCACTTAACGTGCAATAAAAACGTGATAAATTTCCCATATCAAAAATAGGCTTTGTTTATGCCAAAAATTGCAAATTTTTTTAGTTAACAAAAATTTTTTATAAAGAAAAAAAAAAAAAAAAAAAAAAAAAATGGAAAAAAATCTTCAAAATTGCGTGCACAGATTTTACAGAATGTAAGAGTAGCATTTTAAAGTTTCGCCGCTTGTTTATTTGCCTGATTACACTCTACGGATAATGAAAATCATGCAATAAAACAGCGCTGAGGAAAAGAGAAATGAAATGAAATTATATATATATATATCTGAGAGTCATCTTCTCCCGTGTCTATATAATAATAATAACAACAGCAACAACAACAAGAACAACAAGAACAATAACAAAGAAAAAAAAAAAAAAAAAAAAAACCAGCATTAACAATCACAATAATTAGACGAAATCACTGGCTTTTATTCTTTTTAAAAAGCAATTTTTGCAAATAAAAAAATTGAAAACGAATTTTGAATTTTGAGTAGTAAAGGGACTTGTTTACTGTTAAAACACAATTTTTTTTTTGTTAACATAAATGGGTATTTTTTTTTTTATAACAACAAAAGCAAACGAAAAATAAACAAAAACCAAAGAGATAAAAAAGAAAGAAAATACCAAAGAGTCCATACTACTGCCAGAAGATTTCTTAATAAGCTTTTTATATATCAAACTCTTAACACGCGCTCTAAATTCCAATTGCAATCTAATATAATTATAACTTAAATATGGATATATTCTCCAAATTGATGTATGCATAAACATATAAATATATCCGTATCTGTGGCTTTTTTTCCACCTCTCAAGTACTTAAGATTTTATACAAACCATTCACATTAATTTAGCGCAAATTGTTTACAAGTAGTGTTAACCTACACAACGACAAAATAAATATATCAATTTATTTATTTATCTTTTTTTTTTTTTTTGTTCTTCACAATCTCGTAATAGCTGCTAGTAGGGTAAATAGTTTAGTTTTATCAATCAATAATTCAATAATTAGCTTAGTTTCGCAAAAAAATAAAAGAAAAAAAAAAAAAAAAAAACAAAACAAAAAACATTGGATGATCGACAGTAACCGAGAAGGTTCTTAAATGTAGTCTTTTTAGATTTTTAGCCTTTTAGTCAGTAAAATTTTAGTAAATACTTTTGAATTTTTAATTAAGAAAACTTTATGACTTTTCTGTTATTGTGTTTCGTCTGTTTATTTAATTTTCTCTCTCTCTAAAAAAAAAAAAAAAAAAAAAAAATGATAATTAAGTAAAAAAAAAAAATCTTACACACACTCGTTACTAGTTTGTAAATATTAACGTTTTTAGAAAAGATTTTTACATCTTTTAATTGTTTGCCTTCGTGTGCAATGAATTCGCTTAAAGCTAAAGAAAGTTGAATCCGCCTGAAAGCATATTTGTTACAATGTTTTCTCTCTTTCATAAATCGAAATTTTCATTCTTCATCTTCATCATCATTGGCTGGGTTCGTATTGCAAAGAAAGATTAAGAGAGCTAACCTATATCTTTTCAATTTCCCTTGATCGCTTTTTCTCGCTTGACTTCTTGGCGAAAGAAATAATTTTACAAAGTTTACAAAGACACAAACAAACGCACACACACAAAAATTCAATGAAAGCCGATTCTTCCCTTGAATTAATTAAGTAATTGATTTTAAATCTTATTTCTTATGCGATTATCTCAACTAGGAAGCATATGAAGAATCTGGCCGAGAATACGGTAGAGACAAGACATAATAATGTTTTCAAACTATAGCCGTAAAATGTCTTTCGACTATGACAAATGAAATGTTGTTTCACATAAATAAAAGTTCCTTTCAATTCATTAAAGCATGCCATGCCTTGTTTCATTTCCGTTCGATTTAATTCGGTTAAGCGTTTCTTTTTCGTCCTCTTGTTCTGTCGTAATGCATTAGCACTTTGCTCTTTGACTTAAGTTAAACATGACTTTTTAATCTCATGTCCACTAGTGATATTCTGCATCGCAGCGAAGTCTTGGTGAGTAATTAATTCGCAAAACCCTAAGAATGGAAAGAACCGATTAGCCAAGCCGAACCCTCTTGCGGGCAATATCTTCATTTTATAAGTAATTTAAGAAAATCATATTTTGCTACTTTGCGATATTAGACGAACGTTCCCGAATTTTTCCCTTTGTAGGATAATCCATAAAATATATATGGAACTTTACGAGTAGTGGGGTAGAAATCCAATTTTTCGCTAAAATGTTCTCTCTTGGGTCTACTCTAAATGTGTCCTTAAACAAATTTCCGCTCAAATATTCATTGTTGCGATCACCTATGTCGCATATATGGCATAGATGGACAGACAGACAGATATGCTATATATATATATATATATATTACGCGGCTGATTTGTAGGTATTGCAAACATTTTAATAAAATAATTTAAAAAAATCGAAAATATTGTAACAAAAAATATGCTTTCAAATAGCTTTTACAATTAATTAAGTAGAAAAAAAAAAAAAAAATGATTTGCTCGTTTTGATAGTTAAATTAAAGAAAAAAAAAAAAAAGCAATAAAAGGATAAAGAATGCTCACAATATCGACTAAAACCGCAAGAAGAACAGCAGGAATGAAACTAAATGACTACTAAATATACTAACGTACACCGTACACTTATGCAACATTATTTAGCATAATTTCTCATAGCTACTACAACTAACATTGAAATATAATTTTGTACAATTTCTTCTACTTCTTTTTTTTGTTTTCAATATTATTTTGTCTTTAACGCGAGCTAAGCAATGTTTCAATGTCACATAACTTGCTGTGCTTTTGTATCGATTTTGTAACATTTGCTATTTCTTTACGCCTACTTATTTACGGTGTGCTATACATCGTCTACATGAAACGAAGCTGCATACACGCCTCCATAAGACACCATGCCATCAAAATCATCTTACAACATAACACTAACTCTATTTAACATTTCTTTACTTAACTCTTATATACTAAAAGTTTTTTTTTTTTTAGTTTAAAATTGTTTTTATATTTTTTTTTTTTCTTATTTGCTTTGACTTGTGTTTTATTTGTTTTCGCTTAAATAATTAACATTTTATAGTTAAAAAAAAAAAAAAAAAAAAAAAAGAATATATATATATATCTTGAAATAATTTTCACAAAACACCTCAATGCACTTCCGTATGTGTTTGTGTTGTACTCTCAACAACAATCTCTAAATAAATAAAATTAAATAAATTAACATCAACCACGATCAACACGATTATCAAGGGGTTCATATTTTAAATATGAAGAAGGTGACTTACTGCCAAAACAGGAGGCGCGCATCTGGAAGCCGCGTAGTTTTCATTATGACAATGTCGCTGCCGCCATGTTAACACTATTTGCTGTGCAAACCGGTGAAGGATGGCCACAGTAAGCTAATTTTTGTTCATTTCATGCATACAGTTTTCTTTTTCATAAAAAAAAAAAAAAAAAAAAAAAAAAATTAAAAAAATTAAAAAAAAAGAAAACAAACACAAAAATCACATTTAATTAATAAATAATCCAGAGTACTGCAACACTCCATGGCTGCCACATATGAAGATAGGGGTCCAATACAAAATTTCCGGATTGAAATGTCCATATTTTATATCGTGTATTTTATTGTGTTTCCGTTCTTCTTCGTTAACATATTCGTGGCCTTGATTATCATTACATTCCAAGAACAAGGCGAAGCTGAATTACAAGACGGTGAAATTGATAAAAATCAGGTGAGATTTTTAGTGTACAACAAAATTCCCAATTTGTTGTTATCCATACTCATTAGCAAATAGATAATAAAAAGAAAACAAAAAAAAAAAAAAAAAAAAAAAGAGACTAACAAACATATCCGTAGAAAAACAAAAAAAAAAAAAAACAAAAAAACAAACAACCATTTAGCCTATGTCCTAAAATGATTAGAACGATTGTATAGATCGTCGTTAATAATTTCCTTATTAACCACTGCTACATTTCATATATTTCATTCAGATTTAGCGCGCTAGTTCCGCTTCAATTTCCATCTCATGGAAATCCAAATGAAATTTTATAAGTCTTGTAAAAATCTAACGCCGTTAAATTATCTTTCAATAAATTAGTTTTTAAAGCTTTTTTCTATGAATTAGTTTTCCATTATAATAATAATAATAATAATAATAATAATAATAATAATAATAATAATAACAAATAAAAGAGATGTTCCCAAGTAGAGAAGCTTGGAAGATGTATAAAATCGCTGCCAAAACCATCATTGAACTACTCATCCATCCATCATCCAGGCAATTGCAAAACAAGTCGACGAGAACAATACTACGCTTAAAATAATACATAATAATACATAAGCACATTACAAATCGCTTCACCGGTACAGTTACGAGATATGTAAAATAGTAGGCCGCTATCCTTTGCCGAGCGACTCGTCGATGTCTAAGAGGTTCGCAAGAACGTAATAATATTTTTCAAATTTTTTTTTTTTACTTTTTCCAAGGCTCACTTGCACGATCGCAATCATAGGCAGCTTTAAGCCGAAAAACAATCTATCACTTACTTTTCTAGGACTCTTTACAGGCCACTGTCTCCGATTACACTTTATTTAATTATTTTGTTTGCTTAAACTGCAGGTCGCAATTTTTGAGAATATTTTAACGAAATGCGGTACACTAGTGGCTTTTGACCCAAAAGGGACTCCTATTGCGAATGGATTGGGTGGGTCCATTGTTATGACCGCACTCTTAATGCCTATAATGCAAAAAGTTTTACGAAAAAGTTATTTCGAAAATTTCTCGAGAAAAGTCGCTAAATAATAGTATTTCGTTATATTAAATTGAATCGCATTGGCCAATTTTTTGGATCCGTGAAAGATCCGTGCCTTTTTAGTTTTTTTATTTTTATTTTTTTTTATGACTAGTTATTCAACGGTGACAACGGTTGGAGAGAATTGAGAAAAAAGAAAGAAAGCGGCCGCAAAGCATTATGCCTTTGCCGACTGAGCATTTGCTATAACTTCAACCAAAATAAATTCCACCTCATTAAGATTTAGAGCTACGAACTCAGTCATGGAAGTCGCTATTTTTATTTACCCAGTTATTCGTGCGGATACTTGAAAACAAGATATAATTTTTCCTTGCATTATCACGATAATGAATCGTGTAGGCTACTTAATGATCGGCTTTGTCTGATAGTAATGTTTTAACGTGAAAATTGATTCAAATCGAATAATGAAAAGAAAAAAAAAAAAATTGTAATGCGTAATTTGTTTGTGATCTAAAGCAATCGCAACGCAAATAGTACGCAATTTGGATTCTTTAGCTACTTCTTCTGTGGCCAAGTTTGGTTGCAATAGTTTGTAATCTATATGTAAATAAATTAACAACTACAGATACTACAGTAACGAATTGCATTTGATGCAGTTGTCGTCTTTCGAAACAGAGCTTTCCATGAGTCTTCTTATGGGAAATTTTACTTATGTATGTTCGGACGGTGATGGATGGTATTCGAAATTGTTTCATTCTGCAAATATGTATACAGCTTGTAAATTTATACACGAAATGATGAATATCCTCAATTATTATTACTAATGTTATTATTATGCGTATGTCTATGGATGATGTATTTTAGAATATATCATCTACGTTTTAGCTTAAACGGCTTTTATTGGTTTTTGTACGCTATAAATGCTTAGACTTGTATAAATATATATAAATGTTGAACATTTTCCGGAAGTTATTTAATTATTTCAAATTATCAGAAACTTTTTATTTTGTTAATTATCAAAATAAAATGTTTTTGATTACAACAAAAAAAAAAAAATAAATAAAAATAAATAAATAAATAAATACAAAATAAAAAAGTAATAATAATAACAAAAGGTTTGTATTTACTAAATTAGACGCTTTTACATACAATCATTCGCATATATTTTATATTTCATGACATATACCATCACTATTGCATATTCAAAATAGATTCACAAAAATTGTATGACATTATGTATGTATTTATAAATTATTTTCAATTAATTTTAGTGAACATTTTCAAGTGATCAGATTAATTAGCAAACAGTGTAGTTTCATTCCATACACATGCACTATTGTAGTTAATACAAATTTAAAATGGTTTGCATATATTAGTTGCGCGATAGTTATTAACGCGTTACTAATTACAAAACAAGTACATTCTTTAACTCTATACCTTCCTATTAACGAAAGATCTACATTGGCTACAATCATACATTTCAGCCGTACATATTTATATATATACATATATATATATATATATTCTTATAGGTAACGGTTTATATTACGTATTTCAAAGGAAGATCATTAATCTTAAACGTCCACCAAGCACATTTCTTAGCATATTTTTCGGCTTAAAGTGATAACACGTGAACTTAAATCGAAATATTAAAGCTATGCACATATAGTGTGAAGTAAATTGTTGTGACTGGGGCAGTCTTGAGCCTTATCGCCTGGACTATGCCATAGTAGCCATTATACACCGCGATCAAGCTAGCGGCAAAGTGTGATGACTGTCTTCGTGATAGTTAATATACATTATAGTGGTATGCAAACGCAAACACTCTTATAATCATTACCGGCTACTTTAGTTACACTACGAGCTCTGCTTATCTTAGTTGATCGTTTTACGCAACAGCAATGAATTAGAGGGACATACGGCAATACACTTGGAGTACAGTATGGCACCTGAAATTTATAGTTTAAATAAAAATAATACAATTTCATTCTATTAAAGGATGAATGTCAATTTTATATTGTAATTAGTTATTAGTTGTTCTTCTTAATTCTTCTGATCACTTAAAAGTTAACTTTAACAGTTTTAGTTTTCATACATAAATTAGTTAAAATATTAAATATATTTAAAATATATATATGCACTTATCTTCTTCCGATTTTTAATCATTACACACTCATTTGCTTATTAATCGATCGATTATATCAAAATCTAAATCCATAACACGGTAATTATGCGAATAAAAATCTCGCGAGTAGAAAAATTGTTCATAATCGATGTGGCTAATGAGAAACATATATATATATAATTACTTTCACCTTAACGGAATGTTTTTAGATAGAAATCATATATTATTAATAAAATGAAATTTCTTTCTTCTTCTTTTTATTGTAAACTTTATCTTTGAATGCATTTTACAGAAATCATGTATAGACTTTACGATAGGAGCACGACCATTAGAACGTTATATGCCTAAAAATCGTAACACATTTAAATATAAAGTGTGGCGTATTGTCGTATCGACACCATTTGAATATTTTATAATGATGCTTATTGTGTTCAATACTTTATTATTAATGATGAAGGTAAGTACTTTGGCTAAGATTATTAAGAACAAAAAAGATGAAAATCTTATTTAAATTGTAAGTGTTTGACTTATCATCTTTATTATTAGCAAATTTTTTAATTTTTTTGATTTAATTTTTTTTATTATTATTATTATTTATTTATTTTTATTTTTTTTCCTATTAATTTATTTATAAAAGAAGTTACAGATAGATTGAATCGATCTTTATTTGAGATTCGAATAAGAAGCATAAGTTAGATTTTAGTTATTATTTGAGCCGTCATCAACAGAAACTGAAATTTTACTCGTTATATAATATACATCAGAAAGATATATATATACTTAATGGCATACAATGCTAGTCGATGCGGCAGTGTTTGCCCATTTCGAAAGCTTCTTGTGGTGGAATGAACTAAACTGTACAAATCAAAATAAATGTTTAACGATGATAACTCAAATTTAAGAGAATAAGAAGAACACTCCAGCAATTGCCAAAAAATCATTAGACATTTGCAAATTGAATATCAAATTTGTTCGAGTCGATCAATCAAAAACATTTGTAATTAATATTTCCACTACATTATAATACTTATATATACTTGAATTGATTCCCTATTATCAAATACGATTCGCTTCAAAGTCAATGAAAGTTTTTCATTGCAATCAACTTTCCATACATAGCGGTTTGTGCAACTCTTCCTTCTTTGCAATAGCAATCTGATGCAAATCCGTTCATAAATGCTATACGTATGACAGCTAAGACTGCAGACTGGAAAATGTTCAAAGTACCTGTGTTTGACTTTTGATTAAAAATTTTATTCAACATACTCAGGGGCATTTCAAGTAGCGAACGAACGTAACCGAAATGTCCTTGTGGCATGACAAGTATGTAAAACTCCTTCTAAGGCTTATGTAACTTTCATTTATTGACATTAACTTTAAGGCGGTAAGGCTGTAAAAGGAGTGTTTTATGGCTTGTATGATTGCTGAACTAAGGCTACTTACGCATTATTATTACAAGTTTTTTTTTTTTTTTTGTTGGTGATTGGTCTTCTTCATTTTATCAAAACCATTCATGGACAGAGTTAAGGTTTCGACATTTAAAGCTCGTAAAACGGTTTTCATTCCAACGTTCGCAAGCCATAGTCGCTTCTCCATGCGTCTGTTATTATGATTTACCATAAAGTTAATTTTTTAATGTCTATATAAATATATTATATGACTTGTATATGATTTTTGGTTTTATTTTGATTTCTTTTTATCTTATAATTATTTATATAAGTAACAACATTAATCAAACCTTTTATTTATATACATCATTGTCTTTTATAATCTGTAAATTGCGATGAGCAACTAATCGATTTATATTCTCTCTCAGTATCATAATCAAGGTGATATGTATGAAAAATCACTTAAATATATCAACATGGGATTTACTGGAATGTTTAGTGTTGAGACTGTACTGAAGATCATAGGATTCGGTGTTAAGGTGAGCGTTATTAAAAAAACCTTTTTAATTCCATATGTACTTTAAAGAAAGCACGATAAGCTCAGCCGCTTTATACTTCTCTTATTTACAGTTTATCTGAAAAGCTTATTTAGGCAGATATCAAATATTACGTCGACTTGGTGTTTGTAAAATTTAATTTAATTAACCTTAGAAACACATGTACTGCATTGACCATCAATATCAGTAATGCAATGCTATTTACCCTATTAGTATAAAAAAGTCCATTCACTGGGATAAAGCTCGATCTAGTAATTCTGCAACACTTCAAACTAAAAAAGTGAATTGTTCCTTAAGCCCCTTGCTTATCATTTACCAAAATGTTAAACATGTTAACTGTTAAATTGTAAAGTGAGCAAAAAAATCTCCTCGATGGTTTTCTCGGAAATCTAGCCAACAACCTGATCCGTATTCGTTCAAATTTATTTCCAAGTGCGTCCACATCTTCAGAATGGTCAGATTCGACTAAACCGGAAGCAGAGTCTTAATCGCCATTGAAGTTTTATTTACACCATACTTTTCCGAATTTTCGACAACTTCAAATATTGAGTTTAGTGCCATTCGAGTTAAAATTGATAATAATAATAATCTCTACATGATGCCAAATGCTTTTAGATTTCTATCTATGCAAAACATTGTGCTTTTATTCGTCATATTGTAGAAGTTTCGAAATTTATTAACATTGATATATGGTGTTGGGAGATTTTAAGTTCCCGCGCTTACTGCCCCAGTAGTAACTCAGGCCGTATTTGGTCGCTATCGCTATAGCGCTCAAAGTCGATGCGTTCATAACCGCTTCGGTTAGACAACGCTCCCTTAGAAGCAGTTGCCTACCTTGTTGAAAAGGGGTGCTTAAATACTATAGGAGTAAGAGAAAGCAACAGATATAAGCCCGTTGGTCCGTCTGTCTATCTATTGTCTGTCCATGTAAATTTGTGTTCAAGCTACAGGTAGCAATTTTTAAGATAATTTGATGAAATTTGGTTTCCTGGTGTGCTTTGTTCCAAGGACGAATGCAATTGAAAGTGGTTTAGATCGGTCTACTTTTTCGATCGTTCCCCTTATAACGTACTATTTTGAAAAGTTGTTAGATGGGGGAAAAGTGGAATTTTTAAAATTTCCCGACCAAGCTCGCTGGGTAATAGCATTCTGACATTCTAACCTGGTATTTTATACGAGCTTGGTTCAGTTGGGGCAATTTTTTCAAAATATTCCTACGAAATATTCCTGAATCTTTATAAAGTAAAAAAGTATAAAATTTTCAATATTTCATGGTAATAATTAGTTCATAATAGTAAGTTGAGATAGAATTTGAACCACTTAGATCTATTTTTTAATTACCATCCCATATAAAGATTCGCCCAATATAGTAGCTTTCGTGGAAAAATGTTTGCCTTTGCGTGACGGTAATGTGTAATTTCTGACGTATTATTACCAAAACGAATGAATAACTGTAGGCAGACTGGAGTAGGGTATCAAATAGTCGGTCATACCGCAATTATTATGTTCTTATTTTTTTGCCGTCTATTTCTTAAAGCTTTCCAATTATAATTTTATGACTCTTTTTTTTCAGAATTTCTTTAAGGATCCTTGGAATATATTCGATTTGATAACTGTACTTGGCAGTATAGTGGATGCACTCTGGATGGAATTTGGGGTAATTATTGAAAAAACAAAAAACTTTTTCTATTTTATTAGATATTATTTAATATTTTATCACACTTTATAACTTATTAATACGTATTTTGTTATTAAGGCTGTTATGCAAAAATGCTGTTAACTCTAGTGTGTGTGTTTTAATTTTTCTTTATTTATATATACATATGTTGATCATGTGATCAAATTTTAGAGAGTGTATCAGGCGCTGATACTCTCTGCCGTTTCTATTTTAATTGAATTTTTTTCCGCTAGGGTTAAGTTAATAATTTTATTTTATTATTATGATCTTGTTTTTGCTAAAAATGACAATTATTGCTATTTTAATATCAATATATCAATGAAAGGCTTTAGGTTTTGATTTCGATTACACGTTAACTTTAATATATATTATAGTTAATATATAATTTCAACAGGGGAAATTAATTTTTATTAAAATCATGCCAAACGTCAAAATTCAAAAAAGTTTATATTAATCTCGTTCTTTTCTTTTAAATTTCCTTTTTTTCATTATTGATTTATTTAAAAATAATTGTAATACAAAAAAAAAAAAAAAAAAAAAAAAAATTAAAATAAAAACAAAAATATATATTTTAACCAAATACGAAATGGGGTCTCTAACGAAACAAAAACAAAAAAAAAAAAAAAAAAAAAAAAACCGAACAAAATTCATCATAAAACACTTTACAACCACAACAAAATTTTATATCAAAAAAATTTAACATAATAAATAAAAATAAATCCCAATAACCACAAAATCTCTAACAATAAAAACAACTATACACTATAATTTATATATCATACATAAAAAAAAAAAAACAAAAAAAAAAAAATATCAACATAAACATAATCATATTGAACAAAAATTAATCATCAACAACAAATGCTATTCTCGTCCTCTCTGTCTGCCTTTGTTTCATTCTAATAAAACCTCTTTGAATGCTTTGCATTATTAACATCAAAAAAATTAACAAAAAAAAAAAAAAAAAAAACAAATACAAAATCTGATGAAACCAAAA